AGCTGTTACATTTCCGTTCCACTTTGGATTGTGTTCTCTGAAATGAAGGCACATGGTAAGTGAGTTATATTGACAGGAAAGTCACAAAAAAAACATAAAAGTGTAAAAAAAGGAAGGAGAAGGAGGCCAGAAGCATGGCACACAATGCATAAAATCTTTACTATACAAGGAATTTCAAACAAATCAAATCAAACAAATTAACAGGGGAGTTCAGTTACCACAAATGATAGGCAGTTTATCACTCCTCTGATACTGTGAAATAAAATCCTTTATTTATCACGTCATCAGCACAAAGAAATGATAAATTTTCCTTCAGAAAAAAATAAAACTAATTGCCTTTTGACTCAAAGACTCAACAACAAATAAATACAAAAAAATTTGTTTAAATATAGCTGCAAGCAGCGATACAGGGCCCTGAAGCAACAGCAAAAGCAGTGCAGAGCAGGAAGAGCAAAAACAGCACAAAGCTTGAATAATAAAGGAATCAAAATGACACAATATTCCACACAATTTTTCTAAAGTCATCCCACGCAGGACTCGAAATCACTATCTCTGGATTAGATGCCTGTCACTTTATTTCGTTGCGCCACTGGGAAGAGATTCTCATCGAGATGCCGATGTTCCATATTTCAAGTGAGAATCAACTCAATGAAGAATTTTTATATAAATGCACCACATGTCTTATATATTGAGTTCCTTCTCAGATAGACACCATGTCTGGAACTGAAGCATCTTTGCACAAATTCTGGCCACAGTACCAATTGCGGTACTGCGGTATTGCGTTGTACGGGGTTTAGCAGCTTGTGTCACTCAGTTGACGCTGACTTATTAAACTGCTGAGGAGAGGCTTCGGTGTAAGAATTAGCATACAAAAGCATGTTAACCAGATTAGGTTATCTATCTTATTAGGTTATCTCAGATATCTTAATGCTAATGTAGCTTATGGTTAACCTGATAGCTGAAGAGCCACATGCATTCGTAAAGTGTAGCATTTAATATCATGCTATTATATTTTAATTAATGGCAAGGTCCTTGTTATCTTCTATTATAGCGCCACCAAGTGGTGCAGTTCCGCCGCTTTTTTTATGTGTTCTCAGAGTGAACCCATACGTGCGTGTGTCAAATTTGGTGAAAATATCTCATTTTGTTTTAGAGTTATAGACATTTATATGTATGAGAGCATAAAAAATTACCCATGGGCGACTTTGATTGGATTTTTTTGCCACTTACTATAAAAATTTTGACATTTGGGCAATTAAACTTAATCAACGACCTATTTCCGAACTTCCTACGGTGGTTTCGTCTTGATCGGTCAAACGATTTCGAAGATATTGGCAAATGTTTTCTAAGCGCTAATTTACAACATTGCGCTAACCATAAAGCAAAACCTAGCATGTTTGGTAGCGTTAGACTCGGCAAGGATTCAGGGATGTAACAAGATGACTCCCGTGAAAATAAGTCAACCAAATCCAAAGTTATAAGCATGTAAATATTTAGGTGACTTCTCACCGAAACTTCTCAGACTCTTTCAGAGCATCATGCCGATGACCCATACCAAGTTTTGAAATGATACGTTCATGCGTTCATAAAATACTAGTCTGGGTTTCCCCATGCTGCCTTCCCGCAGCGCGATTTTATTCACGCTGAAAGGCAGTATGGAGACCATGGTCCAGATTTTCGCCTCATTTAGGGAACCAATCACAGAACGGGGAGGGAGCAGCAAGACGATGACGACCTCTATGCGACACACCGAAGCAGTTTGTTTATACTTATGGATCCAACATGGCAGCAGACGCAAAGTTACCTTTCGATGCAGCCTGGTCGTTTCACACATAGGTTTCACACCGCAAGCGTGAGCGGCACTTGAGCAGCGCGTCAGCGTAACTACATCGTCACTGCAGCTGCAGACGCGCGAGAGTATTCACACTGGAAGCGTTTGTACAGTGTCACAGCAGCGGCTCCAAAGCTACATAATAAGCGAGCAATTCTTTACAAAGACAACTATACATTTGTTTTTAGAAGCTGGTCATTTTATAACATTGATAGTCTTGAAAGTTTGTAATGTTGTGGTGTACAACATTCGCATATAAGTTAAATGTTAAACAACAAAACAGCCCAGAAAATGGCTCCAAACTATTAGTTTCACTCATACTTTCGATATGTTTACAAGACTGCAACTCCGCGGATAAAAAACCAAACACACAAATAAACCACACACACAAATAAACTACACACTCGGGTTTGATTTGGGTTGTGTTAGCCTGTAGCTGTCTGTGTGTTACATAAACTAAAAGAACGCTTATATATAATATTTTCTGGCTAGTTTACTTTGTTTATATATATATATATATATATATATATATATATATATATATAAAAGGCCTACACAACTTTCACCCAAACTGAATAATTAAAAACAAGTTTTTACCGGGTAGCCTAAAGCTTCTATAAATATTTTAGAGTCTTTATTTTCTTTTATTTGCCTACTCAAGTTCTTGTTAAAACTCACTAGACATGCTTATTCTGTGCATTTTGGGCACTTTTTGTGTGAAATCATATTTATTTTTGTCCATCAAAAGTGTGCTTCAACTTTAATTGAGCGTGGAGAAGTGCAGCAAAAACAGATTCGACGCCGAAACCCCCGCTTCACTGCTGCTCACGCGACGCTCACACGCTGCTCCTGCTCCCGGTGTGAATGCACTCATTGATTAACATACGCGCCGCTCACGGATGCGGTGTGAAACGGCCGTTAGATACACACCATTGTGTACACATAAATCTCTGACCCATCGGCCATCGTCTTCTTCCTTGTCTAATTTCTGTCGCACTACATACGTCATCTGGTATAATTGAAACGATTGGCTATGAGCTACGTACAGGCGCATTTGATAGACATTCTTAGCACCCAATAAACGGCGCCAGGCATTCGTAAACCACGCCTCAAATACGAGAAAATGTACATGTGGTTCCCAGACCCCATAGACAGTAAAAGAAATGGACACAGCGACTCCGTTGATTTCAACGGAGAGAGTTGAAGCCCAACATGGGCACTCACTTCCTGATAGCCAAGCGTTCTGCGCAGGCTCAAACTGAGCTTGACGACGTAGTTGTCACGTGAGCAACCGTTCTGACCTTCTAGTAGCTGTGCCGGGACAAATCTGAATTGAAATCTGAAACAAATCTGTTGTTGAAATATTTTGTCCCGTTGCTTTTATGAACTCTCTATCTATGGGCTTCTCCCTTGACTTTATGCCTCCATGTCCACCCGATTGCCTCATAGACAGTAAACGATTGCCTACGAGCTTCTACTTCTGTCTATACGGTAATTTCTCTACTGTGCGACAGAGCGTCCCGTGGTTATGACGCAATCGTTAGCCTATTTTTACAAGAATGGCTTCTACGGGGCCATAACGTAAGATACAAAGTAATGGAGCCTTTTATACATTGTCGTGTTTCTTTAGAAATAAATAATGGACAAATGGAGTCTTTGGACGCCTCAGATGTAAAGTTATTCGCTGTCAAAGTGACGCCAAAATGAATGGGAGTCAATGGGATGCTAACAGCAGGTGATAGCCAGCTACAATGGCGGCCCCCGGAGGCAGCTTCAACTTCCGGCTGATGGATTACCCCCTTGCCAGACCCAAATCTCAACGAGAATTGGGTCTGGCGTTAGCCAGGCTAATAAAATACAGCATTTTAGTACAAAATTCAAAATGGCCGATATAGGAAAATTGGATATCATTTGACTCGGCATTCCACCCCAAATCTAACAAGACTACTTATATGATTTTTGGACAAAAATAGCCATTTTTCGTATCTCCGGACCAGTAGGTGGTGCTGCGCCGAAACGGAGCATGTTGCCTCAGGTCATGCTTGTGATGACATGTACCAAGTTTGGTCTGAATGTGATAAAGTGTTGCGGAGATACAGCCTTACGTCTGTTTTTGCAAGCGCTATGTAAAATTAGTTTGTGTGGTATTCGAGAACGGTTTGACGAATCAACTTGAATTCCATAACTTTTTTTTTATTTTTATAATTACATTTTTAAACAAGGATTGACTACATTATAATTTCAAACCATTTGGTGAGTCAGGTTCAGTCTGCCTCAATCGCAAATTTGTTCTCTCCCAAATAGAAAAGGAACCATATCTGTCGTCCTGTTTGGATGTACAGTAAATGCTTTCCTCATTATGTAGGTGGAAAAGTCCCTGCCATCATGCCCACCTATTTTTCTGAAGATTTAAGGATTTTTTAAGAAAAGAAACTCATTCTGTTTCTGTTTCTCTCTGTAGTGGGCAGATAAATGCATCCACTCACTCATTCTTTATCTACACCAGAAAACACATTGTTATGTAGCTCATAGTTCCAGATTAACCATGTCACCTGAATGAAGGGTAAATTCACGTGTTTATGGGAAACTTTTGAATATAGTTGTACACAAATACACAGCTGAACCCGAATGTATCATGCATGTTAGTCAGAGTTAAAATGACTTGACAACCATCTCTGATTAAGGTACATTTGAGTTTTGAGAGCATAATCTGGTTTAAATCTAATAAATATCTGATCTATTAAAATATGAATCTGAATAAAACAAAAGTTAAAATTATTTAAAAGCCCACAGATTCTGTCACATGACATTTCACGGGGTTTACGCATTTGGTCTTAATGTTGATATATACACCAGCATTGACGTAATGCTTTGTAAATGTTGACTCAAATCGAAAACTTTACAGGCCTGTTTGATATGTCGACCTTTGTCATGGCCTTCAAAGTTAAGTCATCAGACCCTCCTTCTTGTTTAATATTAACTCTATCTGCACTCATCCAAAACAATATTTCCAACAGTCTAAAGGGATTGTAAAGCGTCTCACATAGATACTTATTGCTTGTGTCTTGGCTGGATGGTGGTCTGTTGCTCTCAGTATTTATCATATTCCACATGTTCAACAGGTATGCAAATCAAGTCACTTAGCAAGATATTACACTGTGTGAAACATTTTATGCCATCTATCTTTGCCTTAAGGGAGACCAGACTCTGAAAAGAGCAGAATCTCTAGCTTCATGACTGTCTTTTTTGTAAAGAGAGAAGTGAAGGAGGTGTGGCTACAGCTCTCGTGAGACAGGTATGGCGGAAACAGAAGAGGGGGAGGGTTTACCTGCATGGAGTTAGAGTACACAGCAATAGAAGCAACACTGCACCTGTTCCTCTTCCCAGACTCTCCCTCTCTTTTACCACCTCTATTCCAGACAGCCAAACAAGAGGGAGCAGAAAGGGGTCAACATGGATCCCAACCAGGCCAGTGGGAATGACAGAGAGAATGAAAAGGTGGAGAGAAAAGAGAAGGACAAAGGAATTAAAAGGAGAAATAGACTTTTCGTAAGATACCTGGAAAGGAGGAAGACAGATACTATTGTGGAAGATGACGCTTCCAAAGGTGACATCAGCATCGCAACCTTGGTGAGAAGGAGCTATTCTGACAAGACAGAGTATAGTGCTAAACTTAAAGGTAATTTTTCCTCACAAACTGGATAGAATATTCTTTTCAGCTAATTTGAATGAAGTTGTGACTTTATAGTGGTTAAACATCAGATAATTTTGTAGTAAAGCCTTGATAACCTTAGAAAGACTGTTGTTGGGCTCACATCAATACGTTTTAACTTGTCACCAATTCTTTTTCTGACATCCTGCCTAGCAGCAGGTTAGCACAGCCTTGATTTTATACAAATTATACTCGTTTAAAGCGTCCCATCTCAAATTCCATTAGATCTTTGTGCAGAGTGAAGTAAAAAAAAAAAAGAGGCCATGTGTGTGCTGATGCTTAGCACCTGTTGCGTTGTTACATTACAGAGAGAGATCTATTCCCACTGGACTGATGTCACATATGCAAACTGAACCTCGGCCACAGTGCTGAACATGGTTGTGGAACAGTCGTAAACAAGCTCAGCCACAGTGCCTACGCTGTTTACTTTATCAGGAAGTTGCTATCTACTCATTTTTATGTGGTTTATTCCGCATCGCACTCTTTTTGCATTATTGAAGCATTTAACTTGATGAGTAGAATATATTATAAGAAATATGAAGTAATTCATTCATTCATTTTCTTGTGAATGTCATGTCACAGTCTGGTTGTGATGATATGTGAATGTCATCATAATCTTAACTTGAGAATGACATCAGCTGACAGAAAAACTAGTTTAACAGCTTCCACTGAGCAGGGAATGAAGCCTTTCAGGGCTGCCAAGTCATGACATTGAGGACATCTCACAGCTATGAGGACATTCTTGTCATACAAGCTTCTTAGTTTTCATACAATAGCCCTTATATAAATAAAATGTGTTGTCATACATTCAAATCATGTCAAGGAGAATTCTGAGACTTCACAATTCATCTGTAAAAAGCAAACAAACCATTTTGAATTTCACTTAACAAACAGCACATGACTGAAATGCTTGCAACTAGTCAGCAGTTTTAGTTTCTTATGTGTAAAGCATTAGCAATGAGACTTGTCATTTTTAAAACCTTTCAGTTCTAGAAATTAGTTGTTAAATTAACTTATTTTAGTTATTAATATACCAGTTCCAACAGTGAGGTTGTCCATTTTAAAATTTTATTTTTTAAATTTGAGACACTTCAGTTCACACATTTAGCCATTTGCATAGTATGCCACTGACAGCCAGCTGTATGTCATATGGCACAATTAAAGTAAAATATGATGACATCATTGAGGAAATGTTGATCCCTGAACAGGAAATGCTCATAAAACTGAGTGTTCTGGATCACTTATCATGCTTCATAATGAAACAATAGATTAACTAAAACAAGAATGTTGTGTTAGCACATCAGTATGACTGTATAAATGTGTTTGAAATATGATATTTTCATGTCTTTCAAAAAAGAAAAACAAATGTCTAAAGCAAACACTTGATCATATGAGATACAAGCTCTTTGGGCACTTGCAGGGCAGGTTCCACTTGTGTGTGCGTGTGTATAAGAGGTATGTTTGGATCCTGTATGTTTACTTTGTGTTACTGAATCAAACCAAGCGGAGAAGGTAGGATGGGAGTCTTGCTTGAGGCTTTCAAATTTAGAAAATAATTAAAAGGAAATAGGCAGATAATTATTGATGCTATACAAAGGCACTGGAGCTAAATCAACACTCACAGTGAGCTCAAAGCACATCTCCAAGCTTGAGTTCAGTCAGGTAATGTTTTCCTGCAGAAATGTGATCGGTTCAGTGTGACACAGGTTTCCATTAGCCGGCCGTCAGTGAAAAGTCTTTGTGTTTTCTTTTCATGAGGACCTTTTGCCAGTCTAAATTGCTCAGCCAGTCAAAATGCAGGTTCACAAGAGAATAATGTATTACTGATGAAACATTTGCTATGAGGAATCTTGAATTCACTGTATTAGCTTAAGAGTTTTAATTTATTCTGCATGTTCTGGTGATTTGTAGGGCAGATATTAGTTATATGACTCTGTGTGAGTGGAATGAGTGAAACACAACTCCTCTATTGTCATAACCAAACTCGTTGTCTAAGACTTGCTCCTTGAATCATTTCTGCCCACTGCTTATTTTTTCACACATAATAAGTCACAGTTTTGTTTCCTGGGTAATTAAAGCTGATTTAGAATTTAAGCGTGAAATTTATGATTGGATCATTTAGACATGTTTAATGCAAGGTGGAATTCCTCACACATTATTGTAGTTATTTCCTTTTTTACATCTAAAAATTATTAAAATGTGGTCTAATTATTAGTCATTTTAAACACCAAATCTGTATATTTGAGATGTGCAGGCACTAAAAGAAATAAAAGGCCTTTTCAGCATTGCATCACTGTGCCAAAAAGTAATGTGAAACCTGGCTCCACCTTTGCCTGTAGCCTCTCTGTCTCTTTCTGTAAGGAGGAAGTGTCAAATGGAGGTGACCAGGAAACAAAGAATCATCTCACTTCCCATGAGTACATACTTGCTTTGTTTAACTTTCATATTGCTAGCAGCAATACCTAATATTTAGTTTTATTAAGTAAGCTAATGTATTCTATTTTGATGATTCATAACTCAATATAAGAATTGCACTGCTGAAAAGACTCTTAATTGCATGTAATTATTCAAATACTAAATTAAATTACTGTTATAAAATAACACTCTAAGTCAGTTTTCAGGTCAGTTTTTATTACAGAGAAAGTTTTTAATCCCATAATACCCATCATATAATATACCCATAATTTTCTCGCAATTGCATGATATAAATCCGCAGTTCTGACTTTATAACACGCAACTACGAGTTTATATCTCACAATTCTGAGAAAACAAGTCAGAATTAAAATTATAAAGTCAGATATTAGTCAGAATTATGAGTAATAAACTCGTATATCTCGCAATTCTGACATAACTCGCAATTGCGAGATAAAAACTCAGAATTGCGAGATATATACTCACAATTGTGAGAAATAAAGTCAGAATTGTTTACATCTCAGTATTATTTTTTTACTGTGAATTTCTGGCAAACACCGATGTGTTTTTTACCAATTTAACAGGATTTTTTTTAATAATGTATGTACAATCTCTTTTTCTTTGTCCTCGCATCAGAGAAAATGTCCCCACATGATCTCTCTTTAGCCACATCCCCAGCCATGGATCCAGAAGAAATCCGCCACAGGAAGATGATAAAAAGGTCAAAGGTCATTGAGGAGCTGGTTAGGACAGAGGGAGATTATCAGAAGGACTTGGAGCTCTGCATAAGCGAGGTTCTGCTTCCTCTCAGAGCAGCCCAGGCATGTTCACAGTCTCATAGAGATGTATTCTCTCAAATATGAAAATTCTGTCTTTTTTAAACATGATCAAGAGCAACCTAAAGTACAAATCGGCTGGGCCATTACAAACACACCACATTACAATCTTGTAACTGCAGATTTAGAACACCTTTACATTTGTAATGTCATCACATAATCACCATAGAGGTACATAGAGGTTTTATGTTATCACTAAATACTACAAAAAAATTCCGATGTGTAGTGCATTTCTGTTAAGAATCTACTAAACTTGCTATTTCTATATTAACATTTTGTTTGATGCATGATTTTGGGGTCTGATGGGTTTGTTATAGGTGGTGGATGTGGATCGACTGTTCACCAACATTGAGTCTGTGTGTGTTGTCTCTGCTGATCTGCTCCAAAGGCTACAAGATGCCATAGCTGACCCTGACCCTGAAACACAACTCATAGGTAATTTTGAAATACATTTAAAATAGAAACATTCGACTTACAAGCATTAAAATAACAAACAAAAACGTTGGCTATAATAAATGGTATGTTACGTAACAACTGACATTACAAATTAGGATTCATTTAGTGGTTATTATTAAACTAAAGATTAATGAACTTAATAAACCCAATAAAAATAATGTTTTTAAATAAAAAAAACAGTTAAATAATTATTAAACTATTGTATAATTGTATTAACATGTATGAAGATTTGTTTTAAACTTTTTCATAAATGTAAAACATTATCCTATATTGTGACTTAATTACACTTTTATAGATTTCTAAACATTAAAAAAAGTTGCTGCCTTAAAATTTTAAGTACAATCAACTTGGCTGTTTAAGTCATTTCAACTTAAATTACATTAAACTGACTTGAAAAAAAAGTTGAAAATTGCTTAACTTATTTTGATGAGTTAAAGCAATGTAAAAACATATGTTGCCATAACTTATTGATCATATAATTTATAGACTGATTATTATTTTTTAGGAGAAGTTTTTATCCAAGCCAAAGCTGTCATGGAGGAGGTATACAAAATTTACTGCTATCATCACGACGAGGCTAATGCTTCACTCAAGTCTTATGAAGCACAGGAGGACATTCAGCAGCATTTTAGAAGATGTATATCAACACTCAAGTAAATATGCTGCATTTATCTCTTAGATATAAGCAGGCATTTGGCTCTGATGGGTACAATAATTATTTATTGTTTCTTCTCTCACAGGAAAATATATGACCTGGAGTGAGTATGCATTTTTTGATTTAAACTCTGTGATAAATAATATACAGTAGTGAAAATTCTGACATTTTATGAATATAAACATGAATGTTACTTTATAGACATGTTAATAGACAGCTTAGTTCTCAATGCAACTTATAATTCAAGCTATGCATTAATCGAAACTGTGACTTTGTTGTTGCTAGCCTCATGCTCAGTTGAGCTACAGAAACATCATAAAATTTATACAGATTGTGAACAAAGTGGAGTTCACCAAATATGAATGGTTGTTCTTCATTCAATGTTTTTTTTTTTTAGAGGGAAGCCCAATTTGCTTGACATGGGCTCTCTGATCATTAAACCAGTGCAGCGTGTCATGAAATACCCGCTGCTATTGGCTGAACTGTGGAATGCCACACCCACGGACCACCCTGACAACAGGCCCTTACAGGAAGCTCTGACCACTGTGAAGATCATTAACCTCAACATTAATGAGTTTAAGAGGAGGAAAGACATAGGTGAGACATACACAGGATCTTGTAATAACTATATCAAAGAGGCCTACACGTTTTTAGGTTGCAAGTTGTCCAATAGTGCAAACTTGGTTCAGAAAGTATTTTGGGTTAAAGCAACCATGTCTTTAAAACTCACATATAAAAGATTTTTGTTGTTGTTTGCTTTGTAAGTATTCAAGTTTCCAAATATATGACACTTGTTTTGTTTCAGTGCTGAAGTACAAGAGGAGTGACGATGAAACCTCACTGAGGGTTAAACTCAACAAGTTCAACATTCATTCTATCAGGAAGAAATCTGACCGCCTGACAAGCTATTTTAAGATGCTCACTGGCGTTGAGCCACAGGTACTTTAACCAAACGAGGCAAAAATAACCATGTTTTTACTCAGGCCTCTGTAAAGGCAGTCTGTGTGTATTGTTGCGGCTTTTCTCTTCTCCACAGGTGAGAGATGAAGCGTTTGACAAGGAGGAAAAACTTTTCCGTTGCCTTGAGAAAGCTGTGAGACAGCTAGTGAAAAACATCAGCTGTTACTTGCTCTATACCCAGGTATGAAGAAACATGTGACATATTTTTAGTTATACAAAAATAGATGGAATTAAGGAAATACACTTTAGGCAATAGTATTTCCATTGGTAAATTTTGAGATTTTTGGGCTATTTTCCTTCCATAACAGACTAGTGGAAAGAAAATATCCAAATACAGATTTAAGTGTTTATTTTATTACAAGTTATATATTTGCGTCTGTAGATTTTAAAAATATATTTAAAGGCTTTTTTTTATGAGTCTTTTTTTTTTTCTCATGCACTGAGCAAATCCCCTCTTCAGTATCACTTAGGCCTACAAATTCACAGTTTTATTCATATATTTATTATATAGGTTTAACAGATGGGGTTTGTTCATATACAAGTTTTTAGGAATATTTTTTATAACATTTTAGTCCTAAAACATGCCAAAAAAAAAATTCTGGCTGTTGACAGTATTTTCTAATTTATGGAGAGATAAAAGTTGATATCCAAAACCTCTATTATGCCAACAAAATGAAACCAGAATTTTGAACCTGGCCTCATCCAATGTTCAAATAAACCCTTCTGGAAATGTATGCAAACTAGTGCATATTTAATTAGATAATGCATAATTTGCTTGTTAAAAAAACACAACATTTTAAGAACTTAATGCTAACAATGTATTAATACCAAGTTCTGGCATGGTGCAGGCTGATAGGTCCTTAACTCATTTGCGATCACATCGTCATCTACATAGCTCAACATGCAAACAAATACAGTGTTGCTGTTGGCAGTCTGCAGCGTTCAGGAACTCTCCACCTTCCCCACCTCCACCTATAGATCTGCTAGGGTTATTTCATGTATGTTACATGTGCAGCAGCAGCATGCAATGTCACAGCAATGTCTGTGAATGTATTGGCTGTAGCAAGTCTTAGCATAGCAGATCTATTCCGCCAAGACTAAATACATTAACATTGCCATATCCACTACCATTACCATGCCAGTCTCTCCGAGAGTTGTCATGACAGAACAAAGAGAAAAAGTAATAATTCGAGTAAATAAGAAAGAAATACAGGAGGTAGATGAGTTTAAGTTTTTAGGTGTTGTCTTAGACTCACAACTTAAATTTGATAAACATATAAAAAAGATCTCAAAAATGGTAAGGATTAATCTAAATTGTTTCAGACTTATTAGAAATTTTATCTCAATTGAGGCAGTACATCTGTTTATGCATGCAATGATCTTGTCCCGTATTTCATACTGTATTACAGTTTGGAGTCAGACAAGTGATTCCTTAATTAAAAAAATTGAAATGGTGTATAATCAAGCTCTGAAAATAATGGATAAAAAGCCAAATCGATGGCATCACTGCAACGTTTTAAAAAAATTAAATATGCTAAGTTTTGAAAATTTTAAGAACCTGTCATATATAAAATTGATCTTCAAATGTTTGCACAATAAGGCACCATCTGTTTTATGTAAATTGATAAAGAGACAGGATGATACACAGATTCACTAGGAGTTCAGCAGGTGGGAATTGTAGGATTAACTTTCGTAAGACCACACAAGGGCAAAGAGCCTTTTCTGTTGAGGGCTCCAAACTCTGGAACCTGCTGCCAAATGAGTATAAGGCAATGCCTGAAATAAAGTCCTTCACATTAAAGGTAAAGCGGTGGTTTAAAATAAACCAGAACTGCTCACATATTTAAATGTGACCATTTTAGTATGCAAAATTGTAATATGTATAAGTAAAAGTTTTTAAATGTTATTAAAATGCACTGTAAGAGTGTAATGTAATGTAAAAGTGCATTACTAAAAGTGTTTTTTTTTTGTACTGTCCCTATATAAATAAACTGAAATGAAATGAAATGAAACTGTCTTATAGCTACTTTGATTAATCACCTGGGGAAATGTGAGTGATATCTATTAGTTTTTTTTTTTTTGCCTATTGTAAGGAACTCAGCTTTTTTGGAAATATTAATAATCAATAACAACTTGTTTTTATTAATTATGAATATTTGGGTCAGTTAATTGGATTAACTTGATGTGGCTGAATTAATATTACAATCAGTTCATCAGTTCGTCCAACGAACTTTTTTGATTATTAATTTATTCTAAGAAAAGGGTATCTTCCATGGCCCCAGAAGAATAATTATTTCTTAGCATGTACAGCACTTTGAGCAAGTAGCAAAAACCGCGATCGTAAAAGTGACTTTGTATTGCAAACAAGACAGAACCAAATACATATTATGTACAAGTTTTATTAACTAAATATAGATATTTATATGAATATAAACAAACTAAACAACATACACACATGAATACATAAATAGGTGAGTGATAGAACGAAACCGAAAACGGAACTATTGAGAAGTTCCATGTAACTATATGAGAAGAACATCAGCATTTAATTTTCAAAGCATCAAATCAAAAGTATACTTGCATGCCTGAGTAGCGTACACTATTATCAAAGTTGTTGAAAACTGAAGTTGTTGATGATTCTGCGAGTGTCATATGTTGAAGTCTCAATCATTTTCTTCTTTGTTGGATGAAAAAGATATGATGAACTTGCATGGTGGGTTAGAGTCCTTGTTACAAACTCCTGAGATTGTCCTTGGTTCTTTGTGAGAGAGTCTTCTCTCTCCTGCATGTCTGCATATCTGGTTGGATCAAGGCCTGCTGGGGCCTGGGCCCCCGTGGAGGGGGTTCCCCAGTATCAGTAGCAGTGTGTTGCGGCCGAATGAGAAAACTAAGAGAGGGAGGTCACATGTGGACTGTCTCTAATAAAGGCCTGAGAACGATCCACCCCTAAGGGTTGACTGGACCAATAAGCAAGGTGAAATGTCCGAGTGGGAAGGTTGCTTTCAGTTAATTTACGAGTCTTTGTCCCAAGCGTGATTATACCTTCATTAATGCTCAGATAGATATAACACATCCACACTGCATTCTAGAAGAAGGTGATGTACATCAAAGTGTGTGTCATTAAATGAGGATTAATTAGGTAGGAGCCATGATACATGTGAGGTTACATTGACCGTTAGTTGGTTGTATACCCAGGTACATACCATAATATATACATAATAGTACACAAGACAGTAAATCATTTACACAATGCTATGAAGCATGTTCATTTATAGATCAGTTAGTCTATGATTAATGCAGAAAAGTCTGTTTTAAAGAGGGTTTCTGTCTTCCCATTGTCTCTCTCTTGTGCATGTGGCCAAAGGAATGTGGTCGTAAAAACCTCCTTATCAGCCCTGTAACATGACACTGTTTCAGCCCTGGTGTTTGTTTCATTTGGGATGTTAGTTTTGGAGTTTCATAAACTTTGTATATAATGAATAATTAGTGTGTGTCTGATGGGTCCAGACCCTACACTATTCACCTGTGGTGTCTTGCCTTAAACATCTCTTTATAACATTTCAACGATTGTTGTATTATTTTGCTTTAAAACAGTGCAATGCACATTTGGAACCTCAATGTTACAGACATATTTCACAAATGAATCTCCATTGTGATTAGAGCAGTCAGTGTCAACACATCCTTCGCAAATATGATTAATTTAATTTATAGAAAAAATCTGCTGCACTAGGTATTGTCCATCTTCCTTTTGTGAAAAACAAACAATGTTTTTGGGTGGTGTTTTCATTTCTGCCTCAGAAGGTCTTTTATTATTATAGGGCATTTTGTACCTCTAATACTATCCTTGCATTTATTCAACAGTTCCTACAAACTGTTAATTAAATCACCTTGACAAAATATATAAATGACTAAGTTTGTTCAATTTAAATCAGCTAAATCATAATATTTCAAAACCAATCTTAAAATGGCTGCATGGTTCAGGACAATTTTTTCAGCATAGGAAAGTACTGAGATAGTGCTGGCTACTGAGGGTTTATTTAGAAGAAGAAAAACATCCAAAAGGCCTAGCCCCATTCTACTGTAAATTTGGTTGCATTTCTACTAATTGAAAGCACTCAAACTTTTAAATAATGTGTTCTAAATATATTATATTGATATATATATATAGATCTGTGGCTTAAACTACTGGAATATATAAGACCTGAATTATATTAAATGTTATAAATGTCGATCAGTACTATGTCCTGTTTTTATATTTCTCTTTACTGTAGGAGATGATATCCATTGCTGTTCAAAATGCACAGGACCTAGAAACTATAATGAAGGATCCAGACAAAATAGACACCAATGGCTTTCAGCACAAGAGGAATGGCAATGACCCATACAAACAATTTGTAAGTGTTTCCCCTCACACACACACAAAAAAAAATGTATTTGCATAAACTATGGAGTAAAAATTCCCCTCAGTACTTGTCAGCAACTGCACTAAGAAACATTCTCAAACTTTCTCAAACAGTCATGGATGATAATTTTTAAGTGAGCTAAGTTTCTTTTTAAAAGTACATATAAGCAACAGGAAGTACAATAATGCACAATATGAGCTCAAAGCCATCATACAGATTGCGGCACTCTACTATTTTGGCTAAGTGAGATTCACTAAAGTATTCCCTTAATTTTTCATATTTCATACACAAAATGTTATCGTTATGCTTCCTTTTCAATCAAAGCATTTAGTCTGTAAGGGCTGTAAACCTTTTAAATGTCTGCATCTGCTGCAAATAGCAGCTTAAAAATGTGTATGGTTTGTGTTCCTCAGAAAGATCATATGGAGCATCTGGTTCTGGCTCCTCTCTCCAGCCTGCAGGGAATGTTCGCATCACCACAGAAGCTGATACAGAAGCGCTACGATAAACTGTTGGACTACTGCAGCCAGTTGGATTCCCGATCCTCCAAAGAGGAACAGGGCCTGGCCCAACGAGATTACCAGGCCCTCAATGCCCAACTGCTCGATGAGCTGCAATGTTTCAACCGAGCTGTCAGGACCATCCTCACCAACTGCTTGATTTGTATAGTGAAATTAATTAGAAAGCTAATGGATGCAGCCCAACCGTCTGTCCACCAGCTACCGGTGAGTTAAAGCAGGCAGAAAATAAATGATGCTAAAAAATAATTATTTAAAATAAATCCCAAAATCATTTTGAAATGTAGAGAAAGTGACAGAGCCCTTTTTTCATGTTGGAAACCCCAGTTTTAAGTGTCTGCTCAAAGGCAAAATGGTGATTTTACAACATATCAAGTTACTTCTGTGGTCCATGGTTGGATTCAAACCTACAACCTTTGTGTTATCCAAAACCATTAGCCTGTTATATTCTAAGCATAAAGGATCTTTACGCATAGAAGTATAGCTTCCCACAGAACATGAAATGTGAAAATTCACGTTCAGTAGGCTATGATAATTTGTTAGTTACTTTCTGTAAAACAGTACCAATGGAGAAAAATATAAAGAATATTCAAAAGACTGTGTAATGTAACATTTTAACCATTGCAGTGGTTGTTTTATCTACAACGATGGTTCTCAACTTTTTTTAATCCAAGGCCCTCCCTTTGTACAAGAAAATATTCAATGGCTGTGTTTTTATACATTATACATGTTAATATACATTTATTTGACTTATTAGGGCACCCGTGGAAGTTTCCTGATGCTCCCTGTTTAAGAATCACTGATCTACAGCATGTCCAAAATTCTGTTATGCATTTTAATCATTGCATTGGTCATTCCATGCAGGTTCCCTTGTCGAACTTTAGTGAAGTCCAAAATTCTATCATGGAGGAGCTGAACAACCTTGGATTCTTCAAAGAAAATTCACAAAAGCTGATGGAGCGCAAAGTGAGCTTTGAGAAACGGGACAAGAAAATGGTATGATTACAAATGATAAATATGGGTAAACCCATATTGCTGTTAAGGTCTCAGTTGAGTGTAAAATTCTCTTCAGGCCCCAGAGATCCTCAGACAGACAGAGGAGCACAGAGCATGGCTCCTGGAAGAGTATGCAGTGGATCGGCTCTATCAGCTCAAGCGTAACTGCAATGCCTGTCAGGAAAAAGACATCAGCCTGCTGGAGGGGGAGCTGGTGGCCCTGCTGGAAGACAAAGACCCGATGGGCAGCAGCAGCCGCTGGCTGGTACACACTGGGAGTAAGTTTGTTTACTTGTGTTTAAATACACTTTCATTTATTTCAGAAAAAAAAAAAAAGATGTATAATAATGCACAGCATATAAGAGGGAAGTTTTAAATATTGATAAGTCAAGATGTACACTGCCATCTATTGTGGCTGCAGAAAATATTTCTTATTATTATCACAGTTGTGTTGCTAAATATTTTTGTAAATATTTAAAGATTTCAAGATTTATTTAATAAAGATCCCCGCCCCCCTGAATATATATATATATATATATATGAATGTAATGTAATGTTCATTGAATGGTTATGGCACACAAAACTAAACACATTTCTTGGTAAAACTTTACAATAGGGATCTATATGTTAACATTTGTTGATGCAGTAGCTGTCATTACATTAAAATGTACTTTTATAGTTTTCATTAGACTAAATCTAATGTTCATTTCTACATAAATTAATACATTTTAACATTGTATTGCATCAAGTTAAAATTAACTAAATATATTATGAATGAATAGGAATTAACAATGTACAATATGTATAAATTAACATTAACCAAGAATAATAAATTCTGTAACAAACTGTTGTTCATTGTTTGTTAATGATACCCTAATGCATTAACAAATGTTAACAAATTGAATTTTATTTTAAAGTGTAACCAGACTTTTAACGTTTGCTCACACTTACACTATTAATTCACATGAGAGTTTATACTTGTAAACACAATTTATTTATTTATAGTAGACACCATTAACTAAAGCATTAATAAGGCTGGTGGAAATGTTGTATGCATCCTATCTATCTGCTGTTGAACTTCATAACCTTACAGCAGAGAGTAATGAAATCCCATAAGGATTTTCTTTCGTCACATGTCTATAAAGTAGCCTCTCATTAACTCCACAGAGACTGTTGCTTCACAACAGGACCAGCATTCTTGTTATGTCAGGTGATCAACATGTCTGTTATCAACTATTGAAAGGAGTTTCAGGTCATTGGGGGATAAAAAACAGTGACTGGAAGTAGAAAAAAAGAGTTCAGCCACTAAAGCCCTTGAAATCTTGAAATATTACACAAAAAATAATGTTATGCACCAACATGCTAACTTTGTTACTTCGATCCTTCAGACAACTCATTCAATTAGTTTGAGGTCTGAAACTGATCTGGGGTGTGTTTCTCAAAAGCATCGTTGGCCAACTATGATCGTAATTTCCATTGAACTCTACTAGTAACGACGGAACTTGCGACCATAGTTGGCTTTGGGAAACGCACCCCTGTCTGAGATCACGTTCACTCTTGTGGTCTTACAAAGCTGCCATTCTTTTGCTCCTATTAGGCTCCTGCTGTTGATAATGACATTTCTCTTTCTCTTTCTCTTTCTCTTTGTGTGTGTGTGTGTGTCTGTCTGTGTTTAGTTACGCAGGGCTATGTGTACTCCTCATTCCTGAAAGCCTACAACCCCCAGCGAGAGGTGACTGAGAGGCCAGATGACTTTGACAATCTGAGTCTGTTTGTCTCGGGCAGCAGGAGCAGTAGTATGAGGAGCTTCAGTCCGAACAGCACTTCAGACAGTATGTCCCTTCAGTCTGGACCACAGGAAGAGCCGGACCACTCTGAGGACCAATATGTAAGACACATGGAAAGTGTGTGTGTGGTACACAAGACTTAGAGGATATTTAATCAATTTCACACATGCAAGTGTGCCGTTGTTCCAAATATCAGCACTAGTGATGCACTGAAATTTTGCCAGCTGAAAATATTCACCTGAAACAGCAAAAAAATAATGTTTCTAAAGCATATCTGAGCTCAGATGGTTGTAATTAGAGAATGCTTTGAAATACAAACCTAAGGTTAGACTTTTTTAAAGAAGACAAATTATTTCAGAAGTAAAAGCAGCTTCAAAAGGTTAAAAATATTAAAAAGATTAAAGTGTAAAAAGGTTATAATAGTTTAAGTTTACTGTAAAGCAAAATGTACTAAACTAAATCTTTTTGTTTTATACAAAATATACATTTTACACTATAATTTGAACTCTAAAATTGCTAGAAAATCAAAGCCATATTACCAAGTTGTGATGATGTTTATATCATACAAATTGAAATATTAAAAGGTTTTAAGTACCCGTTTTCCATGGTAACGCAATGTCTAATTTCAAAAGGATGAACTTTGAATGTTTAAACTTTCAGATGAGACCTCATTTATGATGATTTCTAAAATATGTGATAAGGAAAATAGGCAATTAAAAAAGTGCGGCAAATGTACATTGACAGTTAATAGGTTTCTCTGATGACACGTTTTCATGTGTCAGTGTCTATTTCGAGCACACAAGATGGATAAGCTACAAAAGGTAAACATGTCAGCTGTGTGGACACACTTTACTTTATTATTTTACTTTATTTTAGACACAATGATTTAGCTACTTTGTTCATTTTTGCTCCACCAATGAAAATAGTTCCAAACTACATCAAACAGGAACAACCATTGCATGCCTCCGAGCAAAACAGAGCTGTTTCACTGAGTGAATCAATGTTTTTAGAATAATCAGTTAAATAATTGATTCAATGACTCGCTCATAAGATACAAAGACAGTCATTTACTGGCGAAACGATGTGACCTGCAGAATAGGTCACTGACAGTCTGTGTGGAATGTCCCAGTGCTTTGCAATTTCAGCCCATTTGTAAAGCCAATCAAATTAAAGAGGACCATAATTAACTGTTGTGTAAAGTGGCGTTTCACATTTTTGAAAAAGTTAATTGAAAATTACTGGAACTGTGAAAATCTAAGAATATTGTTTAAACTTAAATTTAAACTTAATACTACCTGGAGGACTTCAATGGATGTCAAGCAGTAAAGACAACATGAAATGGCATTCCGACTACTTTACTGTGATGTATGTCAAGTGAAAAAGAATATTGTTCACTAAGGCCGCATTTACATTACATGGTTCAAGTGAACCAATTCCGATTTTTTCCTCCCATGTGGCACAGATCGGATATGACCCACAAACACGTAAGCAGGAAAAAAAAAAGGAAAAAATCTGATATGAATCGGAAACGTGCATTTGCGTCTGCCATGTAAGCGGACAGATCGGATATTCCTGTCAATGCGAGTCATACGTCATTGAAAAAGCAACATTGGCGAATAACATCAACTCAGGTGGACACCAACCGTGATCACATGACTCTTTTCAATGGTGTAATGGAGGACGAAGGCTCAACCCAATGTTTTGTTGACCTTTAAAGATGGTACGGAAAGCAAAAGCTTGTATTATCATTTCATCTGCGTCCATTGCAAATCGCGCCATTTTTACTTTCTTTTCGGCCCAAGCTTTTCCGGGTAGTACGTCTACCTTTGGTTGTTTCGCCAAGTGTATAGTGGAAATGCAGATATCGGATATGGGTCATTTTTAAAAGAAGATTTAAGCTGGTCGTCAAAAAAAAAAAAAACTCAGAAAGTGTCAACAAATCGGAATTGGGCATCAAGACCTGCAATGTACATGCGGCCTAAATAATGTATACATGAGGATTTGTCTTGTGATGGGTTGAAGTAGGCTATGTTAGGCTATGATACTACTAAATCATCACTGAATATCATATTAATATTTTGTTTATCAACATGACCTTGGCTATAACATTAGAAGAAATATAATTGTTTCAGGAGGCAGAGTTAGTTAGTCATTTTGATGTAAGATTATGAAAATGTTTTTTGTTTTATTAGAATAAGATAAATAGACGACTGGAGTGAATGGGGTCAATCGAGTTTAAAATGTTATATTGTGAATAGATAGACAGCGCTATCTACTGGTCATATGTCCCAGAAAGGCTCTAGAAGGACAAATCATTTCAAATGAGACAAACTGATTTTCAGATACTGTACTGTTATGTAGCAATAAAGTTTTTTTTTGCGGTTTAAAACTAAAATGACACCTGATCTCTAAAGTTCAGCTTTCCTGTTTTGAGACCGTGTTGTCGTCAAGCTGAATGATATAAAGAGAATAACAACAAGACACTAATTTTACTTCTCTTTTTTCTGCAGTTCTATGCAGTTTATGCATTCCAGGCGCGCTGTGAACAAGAGCTCACGCTTCAGGAGTACCAGCATGTTCGTATCCTTCAGTTTTCAGACCTCGGTGGTAACAAAGACTGGTGGCTCGCTGAATCTAATGGACAACGTGGCTACGTTCCAGCAAACTACCTTGGAAAGATGTCATATGCCTGAAACTATTTTTTAATGTCTCTATTAATATTTTTATTTAAAGGAAGAAAAATATGAATTATAAATTAATTGCTTAATGAAGGCCAATACCGCACAAATATTTTTGCACTACATGATGCTACCAACAGTGTTTACTTGAACTACATTAAAAAATGTTATGGACAACATGATGCTAATTAGAAGAAAAAAAAGTTTAACTAATTGTATATAGTTATATTAATATATATATAAAAATCTTATGTGATTATTAAATTATTTATAATCATGCAAATGACCGTGTCTGTTTTTTTGCTGGTTGTCGTTCATTAAAATAAGTATTTAAGTAATTCTAAAAAGGTTAAAAATTACAAGATTCAATTTTTCTTAAAAAAAAGGTGTTATTTATTAAACACATTAAAATGAGCAGCTTGTTTTCAATAATGTGAATGGTTTAGAAAGAATGAGGCACATCTTCAAACCAAACCGCTTCAGAAAGACCAGTAACATTCAAGTATATGTTTTGAAAAACTGGATTTGACTTGCTGTTTAACATAATAGTTTGGCATCGTCCTACTCATTTCTTCAGTTTCTTCTGCGCCGCTTTCTTTTTCACCATCTGCAGGCGTTTCATAGCATTGAGCTGAGACTCCTGGGAAGTGGGCGTCTTGCCATCAGCTGAGGCTTTTGCTCCATTGCTGTTGTTATTGTTGTTGCCGCTACTGCCAACACTATTGCCCCCGTTGCCCCCTCCATTGCCTCCAGACCCACCGTTGCCTCCCAGGCTGCTAGAGGGTGCCGCCCCAGGTGACAAAGATCCAGTCACAGTCATTTTTCCCAAGCTATCTCCACTGGCTGAACGGCTCAACACTTGCTTGCCAAGTGTGAGTGGAGGGGGTGGTTTCATAGGTACCGTGCTGGAGCCATTGTTCCCATTACCACTTCCACCACCGCTGCCTCCTGAAGGTTTATTAGCCAGACCTGGCTTAACATTGGCCAGTGCAGAGAGCCCCACAGGTTTAGAGCCTGAGGGAGGTGGGGTTGATTTACTGCTACTTGGCTGACTGGTGCTCAACTTGGTACTGGAAGGTCCTACATTTGAGGTCTTGGTAAAGGCAGCCCATCCTGTAAGGCCTTGGGGCAAAGATGAGCTACTGCCGGAGGCGTTTCCTGATGCCGCAGGCGCCTGGACAAAAAAAAAAAAAAAAAAAAAGTACTTAATGAGACTTCAGAAAGGACATTAGACATTGGCGTACTGATCTCTTTTTGATCTCATGCCTTCCTCACAGTATATAAAAAACATAGATAACTATAGAACTGGATGTTTTCACACTGAAAATTCCAAAAAGAAAAAGTGCACATCAAATACCCGAAGGATACACTTAATTAACATAGAAAACACAGTGCAATGTTAGATACTCCATGCACAACTGTCCTTACATACTGGAGGGTGAGGGGCTGTCAGACCTATTAATGGCCTATCGATGTTGGATGACAAAATAATCTTATAAAGTTCATGTATTAAATGGTAGAGTGCAAAGTATAGTCAGTGTATAGTGTGCCATTTGGGACAGTAGATTTATCCAGCATTTTATTTTAGCTCTTTTATATTTAAATAATTACTGACCATTACATTAAAGCCAGTTTGTGATTTTTCTTAGACTTTAAAGGGATAGTTCACCCAAAAATGAAAATTCTGTCACAATTTACTCACCCTCATGTCGTTCCAAACCTGTAAAACTTCCGTTCATCTTCGAAACACAAATGATATTTTAATGATATCTGAGAGATTTCTCTCCCTCCATTGACAGTTCAGGCAACTACCACTTTGATGCTTAAAAAAATTCATAAAGAGATCGTAAAACAAATCCATATGAATTGAGCAGTTTAGTCCACACGATCGCTTTATATGATGAACAGATTGAATTTTAGGCTTTTATTCACATATATACATTCATCAACTCACACATCAGTTGTGGTAAACAGAAGCTCAAGCATGTTTGCTCGGTGTGCAAGAACCAATGAGGTTCATTCTTGCGTGTTACGCAGGTTGAGCATTTATGCCCGCTGATGAATGTTTATATGTGAATAAAAGTCTAAATTCAATCTGTTCATCATATAAATCGTTTAAGTCTCTTTAAGATCAAGATTTGGACTAAGCAGCTTGATTCATACAGATTCGTTTTTGAACTATGAACTTTTTGAAGGAACGAATTGGTAGTTGCGTAGCTGTCAACGGAGGGACAGAAAGCTCTCAGATTTCATTTAAAGTATCTTCATTTGTGTTTCGAAGATGAATGAAAGTCTTACAGGGTTGGAATGACATGGGGGTGAGTAATTGATGACAATTTTTTGGTGAACTAACCCTTTGTTCAATTGACACAGGTACTTTGAGTTTGAGACCCCATGTCTATAATCTCTACTGGTGTGTGAATACACTGACCTTCACCTCTGTTCTCTTAAAGGCCTGGAATGAACCAGTTGTTTCAGGTTTAGGCTTTAGTTCAGCTTTCTTCACTAGTGGATCTTTCAACAAAGGTACAGCTGTTGCCAAAGCAGGAGCTGGTTTCTGTGGAGGCTTCTGAGTCTTTTGGGCCTGAGACATTAAAAAAAACATCACATTGAGTGTTCCTACTACACTGTAAAAAAAATATTTTTCAACAAATATTATTGGAGCATGGTTTACAAGAAAATACTACTTCAGTCTTTCTACTTCAAAATGTCATGTTAATTCAATATTACTTGCTGTTTCTATGTGAAATTTATTAGCAATTTCTGAGTTTTTCAGTGTAAAATTTCTTATTGCCATACCCATAACTTATTGTCATACAATTCTCACCATTCGTTTCATTTGCCTGGTGCATCGAGCGCAGTACCACACTAGCCGTGGGTCATTGACATCCTTGTCAGTAACTTGAGGTTTGTGACACTCCTGATGATACAGATTATGACACTCTTGACACTCCACTAGTTGATTGCCAGAAGTGACTGTCATTTGCCTGAGAGAAAAGAAAGCTGGATTAATTTCACACATACAGTCATGTGAAAAAGAAAGTACACCCTTTTGAATTCTATGGTATTACGTATCAGGGCATAGTAAAAAAAAAAAAAAGAAAAAAAAAAAGTTCACTCTATGATTTAATAGCTTGTAGAACCACCATTAGCAGCAATAACTTGAAGTAATAATTTTCTATATGACTTTATCAGTCTCTCCCATCGTTGTGAATAATGAATCTTCCTCGCTGTAGAATGATGGACTTAATTATTTGGATCATTGCTGATGTCTTTCCTCCTTGGCATTGTTAGCACACATCTGAATGCTCTACAGCAGCAAACTGCCAAAACTTCTGCTTTTATAGAGGTGATCACGTTTGCTGAGGATCAATTAATCAAATACATTTGATTAGCAGCGCCTGACTACTACTTACTTACCCTCTTAATTCCTATGGAAGCAGTAAGTGTGTACTTAGTTTGTCACACATTACGGCCTAGTTTTTGTTAAATAAACGAAGACACGGTGTAATATGTCATGTGTTGTTGTTCATCTGGGATTGTATTTACCTAATTTTGAGACCTGCCAAGGACCAGATGATTTTTTTTATTATGTCCTGCTGTGATACATAAAACCAAATAATTTAAAAAGGTTTACTTTCTTTTTCACATGACTGTCCATGGCTCATCAACAGTGACATGAGACAAATACATTTCCAAAAAAAGTTTATCAAATATACTGGCAAAGCAATGTCAAAAAACAAAATAACACTAATATTATTTAATATTGATATACTTTTCTATATATTGTTTTATATACTATTATAGTATGTATTATAATTTTGAATTAGCTTTTATTTTTAGCTTTCATTTTAATTGTAGGGTAAGTTTTAGTAATTTTGTACTTTTTATTTCAGTTTTGGTCAGAGACTGAAAAATACGGACGTAGTGTCCGTGAAGTCACCCGTAGGTAGGGGTGAGCGATATGGCAAAAATATCATATCACGATTTTTTTCAGGAAAATCACGATTAACGATTTTATCACGATTCTTTTTCATGTTGGTTTTACTATTTTGCAAGTGACTGAGCATTACAGCCAAACTAATGTCCCTATTTAAAAAAAAAGCCTTATAGGTAACAAAAGAAAAAAGAATGGCAGACATTTAGGCCAAAGTGGCGAAAATAAAAATCTTTATCATTATTTTCTTTGTTATTAAGAATTAGGAACAAAGATACACATTAAGCATACACAAATTAATATACAAATGAAATAAACAGTGCTTTATTTTTTCAGCTACAGTAGGGGTATTTAACAGTAGCCTAGCATTGAAGAAAGTAATTAGGCTAAATGAACAAATACGAAAATAAAACACAACATAGACTTCACTGTATAAATTATACATTGATTATTATTAAAGCTACTACTAAAGTTCTCAGTCAAGAGCAGTGAGTGATTTCCTCTTTGTGTTTTGTTGTTTTATTAACATTAAAGGGATAGTTTTCCCAAACATTTTAATTGTCATCATTTACTCTCTCAAGTTGTTTTAAACCCGAATACGTTTCTTTCTTCTGTTGAAAATAAAAGTTATTTGTTAGAATGTGGCTAACCAAACAGTTGCTGTACTCCAGTGACTTCCATAGTATATGTTTTCCTACTATGGAAGTCAATGGGGACCAGCAACTGTTTGGTTAGCCACATTCTTCTAAATAACTTTTATTTTCAACAGAAGAAAGAAATTAATACAGGTTTGGAACAACATTAGAGTGAGTAAATAATGACAGAATTTTTATTTTTGGGTGAACTATCTCTTTAAGGACAAGAGGCAGCTTGTTTACTAACTGGCTACTGTCGCTTTAAGAGCTGCACGCGATGCGTCTAATATACACGCATTTGACAAGCCGATTTTCTCTCATTTTTTTTCTGTTTGCTTTCACTTTAGACATAACCAACTTTGTTTATGTAAACCTTGTGTGTATTTGACAATATTAGCGCAATAAGACTCGAAAGATAACTTATAACGTAGTCCAGTAAACAGACGCTGTTAGACAGGCTTTTAGTGCCCGTGTGCTTCGGGTGTATGCGCTCAGAAAGCACACGTCAGAACAGCTCATCAGCACGTGAATTACATGTTTAACCAGCAAGGCTTTAAAGCACATGCAAATAATGAACTTCTGTGAACTGCAGTGTCCCGTTCCTCTGCGTTAACATTTGTTGTATGTTGAGACGGAGCTCGGCGCCAGAACTGCAACTGATAAAATGCACGATACTACGATATTTCTTCAAAAGCAGATCGTGGAGACATT